AAATCATGGGTTTCTTCCGGGATTTTTCCCAGGGATTTCTCTCAGGGATTTCCCGGGTTTTTTCCGTGACTTTTCCCATTTTTTCCAGGAATACTCACTTGGATTGCTGGTTGCTGAAGCCCGGGTGCTGGGTGTAGACGTGGGCGTGGGCGCTGGGGGCGGATTTGAAGGCCATGGGGCAGATGGGACATTTGTGGAAAACCTCGCAGTGGGAACTCTGGATGTGGGATTTGATGGAATTGACGCCGCCGAACACCACGGAGCAGCTGGGACACCTGGAGGAAAATCGGGATGAGGAGGGGGGAATTCCAGCTGAAATCAGGATCCCGAATATTCTGGGATCTGGGAAAATTCCAGCTGAAATTGGGATTTCAAACAGTTCTGGGATCTGGGAAATTCCAGCTTAAAACTGCGTCCCAAAATGGTTCCAGGAATTCTGAATTTTTCCTGGCCCCAGCATTCCCGGTTGTTTCCCAGAATTCCTGGGTTTTTCCTGGCATTCCCAGCATTCCCAGATTTTTCCCACCCCAGAATTCCCAGATTCTCCCCGCTCCAGAATTCCCGGATTTTTCCCAGCATTCCCGGATTTTTCCCACCCCAGCATTCCCGTAATCCCCAGATTTTTCCCACCCCAGAATTCCCAGATTTTCCCCGCTCCAGAATTCCCGGATTTTTCCCGGCATTCCCGGATTTTTCCCGGCCCAGCATTCCCATAATTCCCGGATTTTTCCTGGCCCCAGCATTCCCAGATTTTCCCCGCTCCAGAATTCCCATATTTTTCCCGGCATTCCCGGATTTTTCCCGGCCCAGCGTTCCCGTAATTCCCGGATTTTTCCTGGCCCTAGGCCCTAGCATTCCTGGATTTTTCCTGCCCCAGCACTCCTGGATTTTTCCCACCCCTGGCATTCCCAGATTTCCCCCCCACACCCAGAATTCCCGGATTTTCCTGACATTCCCCAATTTTTCCCACCCCAGCATTCCCGTATTTTTCCCGTTCCGTACCTGTATCCCACCCTGCGGCAGAAGTGCAGGCAGGATTCCCGCAGGTGGCCCTGGAAGTTGGCCAGCAGGAAATTGCCACCGCACTCGGGGCACACGTGGGGCGGGCGGCTGCGGTGCATGCGCTGGTGGGCGCTGAAACTGCAGCGGTTCGACAGGATCATGGGGCACGCCGAGCACACCTGCGGATGCAACGGGGACAGGGATTCAGGAATTCACACAGAATTCACACAGCAGGGTCAGGAGTTCAGGAATTCACACAGAATTCACACAGCGGGGTCAGGGATTCACACAGAATTCACACAGAATTCACACAGCGGGGTCAGGGGGATCAGGAATTCACATAGTGGGGTCAGGGATTCAGGAATTCACGCAGTAGGGTCAGGGATTCAGGAATTCACACAGAATTCCCTCTGTGACGTCAGGGATTCAGAAATTCCCACAGCGGGGTCAGAGATTCAGGAATTCACACAGTGGGGTCAGGGATTCAGGAATTCACACAGAATTCACACAGTGGGGTCAGGGGGTCAGGAATTCCCACAGCAGGGTCAGGGGGTGCCACAGAATTCCCACAGCGGGGTCAGGGGGATCAGGAATTCACACAGCAGGGTCAGGGAATTGAGGAATTCCCACAGCGGCATTTGGGGATTCCCACAGAATTCCCACAGCGGGGTCAGGGATTCAGGAATTCACACAGCGGGGTCAGGGATTCAGGAATTCCCTCAGTGGGGTCAGGGATTCAGGAATTCCCACAGCGGGGTCAGGGATTCAGGAATTCCCTCAGTGAGGTCAGGGATTCAGGAATTCCCTCAGTGGGGTCAGGGATTCAGGAATTCACACAGCAGGGTAACAAAGGGCAGATCCCATTTGGATGCATCCGTGGATTATCCTTGGAAAAGGCAATTCCTTCATGGATGGATGGGATGGGATCCATGGATGGATGGATCCCCGGAGAAATGGATGGAGGGATGGGATCCATGGAATTAATTCAAGGATGGATAGGGGAACGAATGCATGAATCCGTGGAATACAGGAATCCCACCTTTTCCCATTATCTCCCATTTCTCTCCCACCCATCTCCCMCCCTCTCCCCTCACCGTGCTGCCTCCTCCGGCCGCCGCCGCCTGCTGGAAATGCGCGGCCAGCCCGGCCTTGTCCTTGCACTGCTCCTTGCACTCCARGCAKCGGAARCAGCTGTAGCTGCCCTGCTCYGAYCCCGATCCCGATCCCGATCCCAGGGGCAGCACGGGCAGCTCCTGCGCCCCGGAACCGCCATCCTGTGCCACCTTGGCGGCCGGCAGCGCCAGCGACACCAGCGGGGTGATGTCGGGCTGGCCGATCATCTGCTCCAGGGCGATGGGGCGCATCACCAGGTGCGAGCACTGCATCACCAGCCCCTTGTCCTTGTGCTCGCGGGCGTGCAGCAGCAGGCTGCACTTGTTGAAGAACACCAGGCGCTTGCAGCAGTGGCTGCAGGTGACCTCGATGCGCATGCTGCGCCGGTCGTAGTGCCGCGCCAGGCTCTTCTCCAGCGCGAAGGCGTCGCCGCACTCCAGGCAGCGGAAGCCCAGCGGCGGCAGCGCCAGGCTGGACTCGGCCGGCGGGCTCAGGTTGGGTTTGTAGGTGGGCAGCAGGTTCTTGCTGTTGAGGATGCGGTTGAAGGCCTCCACCAGGCTGGACTGGCTGCGCGAGATGACGGTGCCGGCGGTGCCGGGCGCCGCTTTGGCCGCGCCGTTCTTGAGGGCGGTGACGGCGCCGCCGTTAGCGCGGCCGTCGGCCTTGGGCAGCGGCTGTGGCACCAGGCTCAGGATGTTCTTGGCCACGGCYTTGCTGCTTTTGGCCGGCAGGACGCCCGATTTCTGCTGGGCCACGCTGGCGGCGATCAGCATGGCGCTGCTGGCGCTCTGCACGGTGCCCACGGGCAGCACGGCGCCCTTGAGCTTGGCACCAGTGCCCGGCTGCACGCCGACCATCGGGGGCCGCTCCGGGCTCTTCAGCGCGCCGGGGGGCTCCGCTTTGTCCTTGGGACGCTCCGGGGACGCTTCCTGGGAGCTCTCGGCCGCCGCCGCTTTGGCACAGCCGGGCTCCGAGTCCGAGGACACCCTGGTGACCGTCCTGGTGATGCTGCCGCAGGAGGTTTTGATGGTTTTGATGCGGACTTTGAGCGGCCGYGAGGAGCTGGAGCTKGGCGAGTTGGTGCTTTCCTCCTCYGCCTCCTCCTCCTCCTCCTCGTCACCGCTGGAAGCGCTCGCAGGGCTCCCGGTGGATTTTCCCAGCATTTCCCGCTCCTCCTTTGTGGAGAGGCTTTTGGGAGAAGGGGGGATGGCGATTCCCGGGCTGTCYGGGGAGCGTTTGAGCTCGGCCGTGTTCCCAGCGCCGCCGTCCGGCGCCGCGTCCGAGCCCGGCCAGGCCGGAGAATCGCGGCCGGAGTAGCGGACGGTGACGGATTTCAGGTGCTCCAGSGGGTTGGTGCCGAGGCTCACGGCCAAGCCCTTGGGGCTGGAGCCTCCTCGGGGCGGCGCCGCCTCCTCGGGGTCCGATTCCTCCTTTTTAATGCGGGGAACGCCAGGGTGGGACCCGGCAGCGGCTCCGGCCGGGAAGGGCGGCGGGAAAGGCGGGTCCAGGCCATCCCCAGCCACTGCCACGGGCTCTTTGCAGTCCAGGGAGGGCGTGGGGGACGGGGCCAGTGAGGGCACGGCCAGCGATTTCTCCTTGGCTTTGCATTCCCGCGAGCGGTCGATCAGGTTGGCGCCGTCCTCGCCGGGCTCGGGGCTGAAGTGCGAGAACARATCCAAAGTTTTGGGGTTTTTCTCCTTGGCCCAGCACTCCCCGTTGGCGCTGGGCTCGGCCCCGCGGGGATTGGGCGATCTGGGGCCATCGGTGGTGGCCCCGAAGCCGTTCTGGAGCAGCCTGGGGGCGATGGCGTGGCCGTCCTTGGCGCGGGCGTCCAGGCTGTCCAGCTGCTCCGGACACACGGTGTTCTTGACGATGACGCTGACGGCCGAGATGTCGGGGTGGGGCAGGACGTGCTCGGGGCCGGCCGCCCCCGGCTCGCCCGGGATTTGGGGTTTGCYGTGGGATTCGGGCTCCTCGTGGTGAGAATGGATGGCCTCGTTGGCGTCGATGTCGGGGATGTCGAAGGCGGCCAGGAGGTCGTCAAAGTCCGGCGTTTTCATGTCCCCCATGGCTGGGGGGTGGCGGGAAGCTGCGGGAAAATGGGACAGGAGAGCTGAGAATTTGGGGTTTGCAGGCAAGGAATTACTGAGTTTCCATCCCTCTGATCCCCAGGGAATCCCGAGGCTCCTCAGCCTTTTCCGTCCCATTCCCATTCCCATTCCCATTCCCATTTCCGTTCCCATTCTCATCCCATCCCCATCCCATCCCATCCCCATCCCATTCCCCAAATCCCCTCATTTGGGGGTGATTTTGGTAACGGGAATTTCAGGATTTGGGGTGGGAGCACTGCAGGGGACAAGAAAAATCCCAATGCTTCAGAAAAACAGTCCTGAGGAAGAGAAAATTCCACTTTTCCCCGTTTTTCCATCCAAATCCAGGTGGGATCCCAGGTCTGGGGGTGGATCTGGCCCCAAATCCCTTTTCTGCCTGATTTGGGATTGAGGAATGGGAAAACTCCGGAGGTTTTCCTGGCGGGAGATTAGGCAGGAGCTTAGTCTGGGATTATTTTTAACTCCCCGAGGTCAGGCCAAGGGGATCGGCTCGGGATCAGCTCGGGATTGC